TTGACATTACTTATTCGCATGTTTCTCCCAGAAATATTGTGCTGATCACATGATGTAGATTGTAGACCAGTGGCCTTGGATTCACCAGTCTAGAACTCTTTCCCCGTATAATATTATGTCATCACCATCATTGCCTTTTTCACTCCTTTCTCTATCCTGGGCTAGTCGCTTGATGTCACTTCATGTCTTCCCACATTCCTGTACATTCATTCCTGTGACTCTTCTCCAGGTTCCACGTGGTCTTCCTCTTGATCTTTTACCCTGTGGGTTTCAGTGCGAATTGATTATAAAACCATCAATAATATTATATGAGATATAAAAATTTTAAACATTTTCAGGCTCCTGCAAGTGAAAATCAGAAACTTCTGAATACTCATGTCCTCATTAATGACCAAGGGAAAGTGGAGGCAACCTACGACAAGACTCATCTGTTTGACCTTGACATTGCTGGCAAAGTGCGGCTATGTGAAAGTGACTACGTGGTCCGAGGAGGTGGAATAGTTCCTCCCGTGGCCACCCCAATTGGCAGAGTTGGCCTGGCAATCGTATCCTTTGACCTGAATTTGATAGTGCTATAGCCTGATCTATGCTTTGTATGTGTTGTGTTTTCCTTTTTTTTTTCTTTTTTTTTTTGAATCATTTACTGTTTTTGTTACAATTTTTCTTTTTTTCTTTCTTTTTTTTTTTTCTTTTTTGTTGTTGATCATTTACTGTTTTTGCTACAATTTTATCTTTCTTTCTTTTTTCTTCTTTTTTTTTTATATACCACTGTACTAACTGTTCTAAAGTGCCACCTGTCCAAGTCAATCACCTGTAGAAATGACCACTTACCATCTAGATTATAACACAACGACCAGGCTTTAGAACACTCAGGAACATTTTTGACTTCCCGGGAGGCATACAGCATGTAAGGATAATATAGTAGTAATGAAATTAATTAGCAACTTAACCCTATCCGTAGGCCCTGTAGTCATTTTGTACCCCTGGGGTTGTATTCTTCACATTTTAGAATACTTCTAGCCCGAAGATCTCTTTGAAACTTTCAGTATTATGCGGATCAGATTAACGAGAAAATTTCCTCTTTGGAATGTGGTGGCACAGAGTTCCCCACGTCGTATGGATACCATAGTAAAACACTGAACATAGATAGGGTTACAGCTTGTTCATTTGTCTAGTTTTCGATTTAAAAAATACCCTTCTTGATAACTGAAGTTTCGATTTAAAAAATACCCTTCTTGATAACTGAAACTTTACCTATTTTGTGCCTTTAATCAACGTTTTTTTCAGTAAAATTCATATGGAAATGTGTTATTATCATGCCATAAAAGGTATGGAGTCCCCCTCCCCCTCTCCCCCTCCCCCCCCCCTTCCGCCAAAATTCAATACAATTTGTCAAACTCGCGGAAAAATGCCTATTTTTTTAATTTCGTTATTTTGACGAGCGCCTGATTTCCCCACACTATAACCCATATGAATGGCCTTGACCTGTTGCACACAGTGTTATGACATGAGGTTCCCAGAGATGGCGCTAGCGCTGGCCCAGCAGGGTGCCCACCTGATCACTTACCCATCAGCCTTCACTCAGCCCACGGGCATGGCACACTGGGAGGTGAGATATATATATATAACTCCTATCGGCCAGAACGACACGTTGCGTGTCATTTCGGTTTACCCCCCCTTCCGCCAAAACAACACAATGGTAGAGTGTGTCATTTTCACCTGCTCAAATTAAACACGCACATTTCTGTCCTGTCCTCCAAATTCATGTAGATCTATATAATATTCATCATCATCATCATCCAGTGCCAGATCTGCCACAGACATCGGCGATCATGATTTTCCATTGATTCCTTTGCTCGGATGCTCTCAGAAAAGCTACGTTTCCCTGATTTTTCCCTGTTACCCATTTGTTTAGGTTCCCTAAGTATGTTGTTCTGGGCCTACCCCTGCCTCGCCTGCCCTCAATTTTGCCAGTGAGAGCTAGATGTTCAAGACCCTTATGTCTATTCAGGTGTCCCAAAAACTGCATTTGTCGTTTCCTGATTGTTTTTAACATTGAGCGTCCCACATGGGCTTCATCAAGCACTACCTCATTTGATTTCTATTCCTTCCACGATACTCTTAGCAGTCTCCTAAGAAACCACATTTCTGTTGCCTCTATTTTATTTTCGCTGTCTTTAGTGATTGTCCAGCATTCACAGCCATATAGAAGGCCATATATATATAACATTGGTCAAGTTAAAAGTAGACATGGTGACACTTCTTTTCTTTGTAACTATTTGCAGCTCGAAGTTGAAGGCATATTTTTCGAGTGATAGCGTGTCATATCCCACACAATTTTCTATCTGGAGTCCAACTCATTTTCCAAATCACAAAAGTTACTCTATACCCCCCTATAATACGCCTGCTTTTTCTTCATTACATATCACTATCTACACTTCCCTGATGTTGCAGATTGTTAATTGTTTTGCTATGTTGAAAGAGATAGATCTAAATCCAGAATTGTTGGTGATGCAAAAACTTTTATCCAAATTCTGAATGACATCAAAAGATTTAATCCTGGCTGTTTAGGAAAATCCATGAAATTAATTCTGGCTAATGAGAGTTATGGTAACGTGGGACCCACTGTATCGATTCCGATACCTAACTGATTCTTCCAACTTATAACACAACATATGCCCTTCAATCAACATCTCAACCGAATTGGAGTAAAGCAGTCTGCTGCCTGCCCACTATGTAACTACCCCCTCAGAGACAGTGGAACATCCTCTGTTCTTCTGTAGAAAACAACCGATCTGAGGGGATGTTTTCTTCCCAAGCTACCCCACTCATCTAACTGCCTCTACTGCTCAAGACAACAATTAGAACAGACATGCAACTATTACAGAATGGCTAGGAGCAGCAAGAACGACAGACACCATTGCTGCAACGCGGGACAGAGTGAAATGGAGGTCCATGATCGCCCACGCCAGTCGGCAAGGCACCGGATGATGATGATGATCATGCAGAAGAGTTAACGCTCAGATTCTACTAGATAGCTTACAACAACAACAACTGATTCAGCCCGCAGTGCTGCTCACAGTGGCTGACTGTCTCCTGTGTTTTGACCACGTGCGGATAACTTTAGAACGACAGATGTACGCCATTGGCCCATATTTATAGTAACAGCCATCTTGTTTGACGTCATTGAGGGATTCCCACGTTGTTGTCGTTCACGGTGACAACACGACCGCAAAGAACTATTGCAGTATTTTTAAAGCCTGTAGCTTACAGTGGCGTGGTGGTGGAGTGGTTAGTGGGCTTGTCTCCAGAGCAGAAAGTCCAGGTTCGAGCCTTCGTTCGGCCATGGATTTTTTTTTTTTCGCCTACCCACCATAGTAGGAATCCCTCAATGACGTCAAACAAGATGGCTGTTACTATAAATACCGGCCAATGGCGTACATCTGTCGTTCTAAAGTTATCCGCATGTGTTTTGACCCAGAGCGGCTCTTATCTATTTCTCCCTTTCTTCACTCGCATCACTTTCCTCTCTTTCTTTTTTCCTTACCACTTACATTTCAACCCTTTTTTCTGGTGTCATTGAATAGTATTTTTTATTCTGAACATTTCTATATGCCACTCATAGGGCTTTATCAAATTTAGATGTTTCTTTATTATTTTTTTTTGTGAGACCACTCATGAGGTCACGAACCACCCGTGAGGTCACGAAGCGGTCACAAATTATTTGCATCTAGATTCAAAATTATCTGTGTGCTGAATCAGTGAATGTACTTTAGTTGATGTTTCTTTGAATAATCTTTTTTTAGGCAAGTCATGCTTGTGACCTTCTATTCTCTATCGAGATTTCTTTTAAAAGCTTATTAATATGTGAATGTGAACAATTGATTTTGCTGTGTCTGTTTATACCAACAAAAATGTTCTTGGAGTTTTATTCTTCGAGTTCTACTTTTATGTTCCTTTTAGAGAGACAGGTAAATTTGTAAAGTATAACTCCCCCCCGCCCCCCCCCCCTTCCCCCCAACCCATAAAAACTTAGAAACCTTAGAAACCAAATAAGCTCTTTTGAAATTGTCCCTTCCTATAAAAGGTAATTTAGCTTTAGTACCTGACGTTTTCAGCGTTAATGTTGAGGGAATTTTTAGTAACGTAAGAGGTGCAAATTTAACGGTCAATCTCCGGCGTAGGTAGGGGAAATAGGCAAACAGGGAACAGGTAAATTGTCTGTAATATTACCACTGTCTGTATGATGTGTTTGGTTCTATCTTCTACCTAGGTGTGACACTTTTTAAATTTGCATGTGGGTTGGTGGGTGGTCAAATTGGCGGGTGCTCTGGTGGGGTTTGCTTCTTCTTTCCTATCAAACATCTCTTGTCCTAATCTCACCTTCTTCTTTTTTACATTTGTTACTCTTTTGTAACACCTCTAATCTTCTGGTGCTCATATGACCTTATGCAGTTGCGAGCGCTGTAAAACCTCTACTAAAACTAAAATTTACATGCCTTTGTTCTACCTTTAGTCGATTCTGCGAGCCCGTGCCATCGAGACCCAGTGTTATGTGGTCGCAGCTGCTCAGACTGGCAGCCATAATGCCAAGCGCTCATCCTATGGTCATGCAATGGTGAGTTTAAGACAGTTTGCCTATGGAAAATTTTGAAAATTGTGGAAACAATTATGCCCTGCAAATAAGTACTGAATCAAAAAGGCATGTTGCACTATTCATGTCTTTACGGTAATAAAATTCTGTGCTCTCTTTCAATACGTGCATTAGAACAGCCAGAAGTAATTCTATAGAAGTACAGTGTAGTAACAAACTCATTTTTTTTCTTTTCCAAAACGGTCTGCATTTTTGATGTGTGGTCTAATGCAAAGAATTCTTTTACACTCAAACTCAATGAGGATTGACAAATGTGTTCGACACACCCACAATTCACGTTATTCGTATAGCGAAAAATCTGAGAGAAATTAGTCAGGGAATGGCCAATTGTACAGAGGCTATTTGTGATTTTGAGTTTTATGTGTTCGTCTTATCGGTGCCTGACTGTATTTAAAGAAGAGATTCCTATATTTAATGTACTTTTGTTGATGTTTCTATGCATATTCTTTTTTTAAGAACGTCATGCATGTGACTCTACTCTATCGAGATTTCTTTTAAAAGCTTATCAATATGTGAAAAATTTATTTTGCTGTGTCTGACTATACAAAAAATGTTCTTGGAGTTTTCTAGTTTTTCAAGTTTTTGACTAATTCTGTAGTTGAAAATGTTTTCTTCAATGTAGCATTTCTCTAAAACCTTTCACAGAGGAGTCCTTACATTTCACTAAAACCTTCCACAGAGGAGTCCTTACATTTCACTAAAACTTTCCACAGAGGAGTCCTTACATTTCACTAAAACTTTCCACAGAGGAGTCCTTACATTTCACTAAAACATTATACAGAGGAGTCCTTACATTTCACTAAAACCTTCCTCAGAGGAGTCCTTACATTTCACTAAAACATTATACAGAGGAGTCCTTACATTTCACTAAAACATTATACAGTGGAGTCCTTACATTTCACTAAAACATTATACAGTGGAGTCCTTACATTTCACTAAAACATTATACAGTGGAATCCGCTTACATTTCACTAAAATTTTCCTCAGAGGAGTCCGCTTTACACTTTGCAGTCACTTGGCGCAATAATGCGACGGTGCAAATGATCCGTTCCGGTCACCTGGCGCAGTTCTCTGCCAGGCCCGAAAAGTCTGTTGTAGTTGCTCTCCTGGCCTGGTCACCAGATGGGGTGTTTTGTACTGCTGGATGCGTGACTGCGAAGTGTTTAACTAAAATCTGAGTACTGTGGGATTTTCTTCGGTATAGCTGGGTTTTCTTTAGATTAGTCGCAGGTTTTGGTTTACAGAGGTTGCTCAAATTGAAGAAAAAAAATTGGAGATTTTACTTTCTTTTGATTACCAGCTGTTTTTGGATTAACCATATTTAGTTAAAGTGGACTCTGCCATATTTTCAGATTTGCTTAATTAATGGTAAAGAAATTTTGATAAAGAAATTTGGTATGGTAAGAAACTTTGAACGGGTAAGAGACCTTGTAATGGTATAAATGTTTGTTTTAGTAAGAAATTCGGTATGGTAAGAAACTTTAAGCGGCTATTGTGGCACAAACCGATCGCCTGACTCGTCGCATAAAAGACTATTGCATTATTTTCTGGCAACGAGTCAGGCAATCAGTTGACGATCCCCCAATGGGCACTACGTATAAGAAACTTTGTTAACCCTATCCGTACGTCGTGCTTAACTATCGTATCCATACGACGTGGGGAACTCTGTGCCACCATTTAACCCTATCCGTACGTCGTGCTTAACTATCGTATCCATACGACGTGGGGAACTCTGTGCCACCACTTAACCCTATCCGTACGTCGTGCTTAACTATCGTATCCATACGACGTGGGGAAATCTGTGCCACAACTTTCCAAAGAGGAAATTTACTTGTTGATCCGATCCGCACACTTTGCATAGCAGTCTGTCAAAATGATTTTTTGAGAAATACTGAAAGTTTCAAAGTAGAGATCTTCGTACTAGAAGTATTCTAAAATGTGAAGAATACAACCCCGGGGTACAAAATGACCCCAGGGCGTACGGATAGGGTTAAAGCAGGCAAGTGTTGAAGCTGCCTACTTAGACTGATTAGAAGAATCACAGAAATCGATGTACAGAAAAGTGGGAAGACATGGAATGACATCTAGAGGCTAGCCCAGGATAGAGAAAGGTGGAAAGTGTTTGTCCGTGGCCTATACCCTGGTGCAGGGTGAGAAAGTGTTTGTCCGTGGCCTATACCCTGGTGCAGGGTGAGAAAGTGTTTGTCCGTGGCCTATACCCTGGTGCAAGGTGAGAAAGTGTTTGTCCGTGGCCTATACCCTGGTGCAGGATGAGAAAGTGTTTGTCCGTGGCCTATACCCTGGTGCAAGGTGAGAAAGGCAAATGATGATGATGACATCGGATGATCTCACCCAATTCCCCCCCGTTGTGTATGATCTTCCCTCTAGGTGGTGGACCCGTGGGGTGCGGTGGTGGCTCAGTGCAGCGAGGGCACGGGCGTGTGTACCGCGGAGGTCGACCTGGCCTACTTGAACAAGCTGCGCGGGCAGATGCCGGTCATGCAGCACCGCAGGACGGACCTGTACGGCAAGGTCAACGCACTCGCGTCCAGCACTGGGAAAAGTAAGTTTGATGTTGTTGTTGTTGTGTGTGTGTGTGTGTGTGTGTGTGTGTGTGAGTGTGTGTATGTGTGTGTGTGTGTGTGTCTTTGGTAGCCTATCCGTTCGAAATGTTTTGAGCCCCGAAAAGTGTGCTCTTTGCCAGGGCCACCGCCTCTCTTGGGTAGCGGGTGAGGCAGTCCAACCTCCCTGAATCCTCCCCAAAGAGATGCCACCGCCGGGCCTCCGTGGCGGGGCATCTCTGCAGCCAGTGCTCCAAATCTTGGGGCTCCTTGCTGCACAATGGACAGATTGGGTCCGATGTTTTGTCTATTCTATTTTTGTAGGCCTGCAGCCCAGAGAAGAAACCGGTCCTGATTTTTGCCAGTAGTGACTGGTCACTGTGGGACTTAATAAGAGCCTCTCGTTTTAAGGAAAATGATGTTGTTGTTGTTTTTAAATCCCTTTAGCTGCGAGTATTTCGCTCTTGGCAGCGCAATGCCTCCCTCAAGTAACCACATGTCCTTGTCATCTGGTCAACGCCAGAGTAGAGCACGCTTTGTAAGTCTGTAGGTGTGTGTAGGAGCCTGCGCCGAAGAACTGCCAGGTTTGGGCGGTGAAGGAGAAGATGTTCAACGGTTTTCTCGTGGTAGTCACAGTGTCTGCAATGGGGTTCCCACATGGGGTTAATTCTGTTTATGTGAAGTCAGTTTGATAGGTGGGTGCAAGAGGGGGGAACTTTTGATGGAGATAGAGGGGCAAGGGCAACAGCAGGTACTTGCTGCTCAGAATGTTGTTCATGACTTTTGGTGGGTTGGGTTTTTCTGGGTCGATTTTTCTCGGAAACTGTGTATTTTTTGTTATTGATGACTGGACGGGTGTTTTTCTTGGAAACTTTATTTCGCGTTATTGATAACTTTGTACGCGTTTTTCGTGGAAACTATTTATTTCTCGTTATAGATGAATCTGGGCTGATTTTTCTCTGGAACTGTTTATCATTTCCCGGTAATGTATGGCCTTATGCTTATTGAGTAACATTTGTCTTGTGTCAGTTTCCCCAGACGATGAACCAATTTACCCGTTTGGCCACGTCAAGGTCCCTTCTGCTCAAGTTTTCTACCGAACGCCGTTGTCGTTTGCCTTTGTGAACATCAAGCCTGTTCTTCCCGGCCGTATCCTTTGTGCATGGACGGACGCATTTCTTGTTCAGGGAATTGTGGGAAAATGTGGCTATTCTTGTCTTGCTCAAAATCTGCAATGGGAGAGGGGAAGAGAGGGGAGGTGGGGAAATAGAGAGGGAGAGAGGGAAAGAGAGGGGAGATGGGGAAATAGAAAGAGGAGATGGGGAAAGAGAGGGGAGATGGGGAAAGAGAGGGGAGATGGGGAAAGAGAGGGAAAGAGAGGGGAGATGGGGAAAGAGAGGGGAGATGGGGAAAGAGAGGGAAAGAGAGGGGAGATGGGGAAAGAGAGGGGAGATGGGGAAAGAG